GAGAGGGGGGAGTTACTGCTTAATAGGTGTCGTTTTTGTTTAGGGTAATTAAAGGCTTGGAACGAGTAGTGCTGGCTGCACGACACTGTGACTATAATGAATGTCCTGAACTCTACACTGAAAATGGCCAGTATTATGTTACATTTTACCACAATTTAAAAAATTCGAGACAAACAACAGCAACCTGATTATGTCCCAGCTCTGCCTTGTGCCAAGTGACCTCAGACAAGTCACCGAACCTGCAAGCTTGCACTCCTGTGCTGTGGAGATCAGAATGCCAAAGGTCCGGCCCCGATGGGGAGCTTCAGCAAGATGAAGTATGTGGAAGACGAAAGCCCCCCCTAGCCCGTGAAAGTTCTGTACACAGATGCTGTGATTAGTCTCATTCTGGGAGTTCGCTCTGCTGCTGTGTGTGAGCACATAACTCATGCTTACAAAACTCATGGCATGGTCTGCAAACAGCAGCAGTCTCTTACCCACATGGCCTGCAGCAGATTAACTCCATACTCATGTTCATTCAGCACACTTTCCCTGGGCTGATTCAGTGCCATTATTAAATTTCCTAACAGAGAGCTTGTTTGTAACAGCATCTATATTCTGCAAAGAAGCAACCTGGAATGACACCCACCAGTGACTGCTGGCCCTTCAGTCATCATCCTCTGCGTGGGAAGGGGACGTGTGCACAGGGGCAGGGCCTCGCCTTTTGGCTATTTCCCCCAAGGGCCAGGCTCCTGTGTGTGGGATGAGCACCTTGTGTTGTCCCTCAGTCCTCACCCACCATACCTGTTCCAGCAGGGACCGCCACCTCCTCTCCCACATGACCATTGCAGCCCCCACCCTGGTTGAGTATAGAGTCCTGGGGTTTCTCCAGAGAACATGGCAAGAAAGATCATAGGCTCTAACAAGACCGTGGTATTCTCTTGTTGAACATCAAGAGTTTCGTGTACAACAGCATCAGGCAAGGCCGCTCACGGCCTGTGACAGGTCACGACAAGTTAAGACCCCTCAGTAGTCATGACCAAGCACAAGTGAATTATGAACAGGATCCAAACTGTGAAAATGACCAAATATTCCTTCCTCCTGGATTTAGCCTTGCTCTATCCTTCTGGCCTTCCAGATAAGAATTACTGAGATGACCACAGAGCCACAGAAAAACCCTACACTTTGACTTTCTTCAAGTCATCTCACATCAGCCCAGATCTGATGAGAAGTCCCTGCTTGCCCTATCTTGCAGAGAGATGCTCCACCACTGAGCTCCTCTTTGCACAAAGAGTAGACCGACTTTGTTCAGGACAGATGTGTTCCTGGTGGCCTTCGGCAACTGAGAGAACAGCCCTTCCCAATTTCAGACTCATGGACTTTCAGTCTTTTCCTACACATCCCAGAAAAATAGGGTACTTAACTTAGGGTTGACTTTGTTTTAGTTTTTACTGCTGCATGGTTCCATCTACTTTCTGGTCCTCTGAAGACACTAATATGTCAGAATCACAGATCAGTTTAAAACTCCAGAGTGTAGAGAACCATGCATTTGCTCATGCATGTCTTCAGTCTCCATGTTGGTAGTGGGTTCGTCTCTTGCTCAGAATTTAGGATTCTGGCACACCAGACCCAGAGATGCTCAGGGGAGAGCACACTAGGAGATGCTGGGGCAGGATGAAGACAGTGGTTGCCCAGAGCCCTGCCGCTGTCCAGGAGCAGAAGGGCTCCCTTCACCTGCAGGGCCCAGGAAGCCTCTATGACTGAGCTGGGCCTTAGAGTATGATCCTCATAGAGAACAAAGAAGGCCTGAAGGAGGAAGGAAGTGAGGAAAATCCTCCCTCATCAGGGCGCACCCTGCAGAGCATTGGGAAGGCCAGGCAGAGGAAAGAGTGGAAGTGGGTAAGGCTGGTGGGGAGGACAGAGCAGCACTGGAAGGGTCTTGAATGCCCCCCCCAACAGAGGCATGCTCATGATCCTCCAGCCATAGGGAGTTGGGGGCCTGCTTTAGGCGGGAGACTGGCATGACCAAAAACATGTCAGAAAGATCATTCTGTCACAGGCAAGAAGAAAGATTGTCTTAAACATGACTCATGCAGCTGAAGGCGGAAGGTTGATTCATGGTCTAGAAGTGGTATTTATTAGCTCTAATGGACTATGAGACTAATGGGCCGTGCACGCCCCACTACACAGCTTTGACCTTACTCTGTGGGTGACTGGAAGCCTTTGCGGGGTTTGAACAGGGCAAAGATGTGGACACATCTACTGAAAGAAACCAAGAAATCGCCCACAGCATGGTGTGTTCATGTGGGATTCCATGTAGGCGTTTGGAATATCGAGAGTCACTTGAAGACACCATCCTGACATTGCCGGAAAACCAAGTTGGAAATTTCTGGATCGAATGATTTCTTAGCTCCCCTCCAGCTCTGACAGTCACAGGTCCGGAACAAGGAAAGGAAAGCTATTGCCAAAGTGTATAATGCATCACAATGTCAGACTTTGGGATTATCTGCTGCTTGGGGTTTTCCACACCACCACTCCCCTTCATTAGTGGGGATAATTGAGAGTTGACTGCAGTTATTACGGCTGTCGCAATGGGTATTTGAAGCTAAATTCCGGCGAGGAGATGTGTGAATGTTTATCTCAGCTGCAGAAAGTTAATGCAGTGTGGCATTAATTACCCTTCCTGAGCCTGCTGTCGTCTTCTGTTTTTAGGTGTCATTCTCAGTTGGATAAATTAGTTTCCAAAATTAGAATAGAACAAATTGTAGGGTGAGATCAAGGCAACCTGACTTCTCAGGGCATCCAAAAAGAAGAATGGGCTGAGAATGAATGTCTACCCAGGAAGCCTTCTGACACATCCCTAAAATGCAGCACAGGTGAAAAGGAAATGCCTTCTCCGTTTGCTATTTGGCTCCACCTTGGAGCCCACCCCTGGACATACACACGACAAATTGCATGTTTAACCTTATAACAGTTATTGGAAACAGTTCAAGATATTGGCAGGAAATAGATTAGATACTTAGTAAATCATCTTGCTGTAGATTTTCACCAATTCAATTTTGAAAGAATAAAGCCAAACCGAAGTGTGTTTAAGACAGAAGGATCAGAACAGCAAGGAAACTAGACGTCGTATCATAGTCATTCGCTAGTTCTCTAAGTGAACCTGAGTGAGGACCTACTGTGCTGTGATCTGAGCAAGATGGGCTTCTGTTCTTCCTGTTCCCAGAGGGAAGATGGGATGTGCTATTCACTCTATTTCCAAGAGCAGTGTGAAGACTGTAAGTGAAAGGTTGGAGGGACTGGCTGGGTCTGAGTTACATTACAGAGTAGAGGGTCTCAAAGCAGCGGGGTGTTTCTCTCCCTGGAAAAATACACACAGAACGAGTCTTAGAGGAAGACATCCTGGATCCGATGGCAGGAGCTCTGGCTTTCACTCTGGGCAGGGTGACTTAGTGCTCATATGACTCCAAGGAAGCCAGAGTTCTCTGTGCTGTACTGAGAGTCCTTTCTTGGACAGTGGTGGGTCCGGACATTGTTTCCTAAGCCACTTGCACTCAATAGCGTAGAGTAAGCAGAGCAATGCCTTCCACACGAGAGGTAGCCCAGTGACCTTCGTACTGCACAATCTCTCTGGGCTTCAATTTTTATTGAGAAATAGAAGGGAAAGATAAAAGCTACTCGTAGGACTGTTAAGGAAGATAAAATAAGGAAAATAAAGGTGTTTTATAAACCCTCAAGCATTCTACAGGTGGAAGGGCTAGTGTCTCCCACCCTGATATTGTAATAAGCTATAAAAAATCACCAGACTATATTTTCAGTCTTCATGTTTCCAAATTTACTAGCTCTGTGACCATGGACAAATTACTTCACTTTTCTGTGCTTGCCTTTTTACTTGCAAAACATATAAAGCATTTGCCTTCCAAGGTTTTTGGGATGAGTTAAAGATATAAAGCTGGGCATGGTGGCCCATGATTGTAATCCCAATGCTTGGGAGGCTGAAGCAGGCGAATCACCATGAGCCTGGGCTGCATAGTGAGTTCAAGGCCAGCTTGGACTGCACAGTGAGACCCTGTCTCAAAAATATAAAAATATATAAAATACCTAGCAGGGTACTGGACACAGTAGGGGCTTACAGATTGCCAGTTCATTTGAGAGATTGAGAAAAACAAGCAAACAAAAGGGACCTGTGCACAATTAAGATGTCACTGTGCCTGCTCAGTCCTGACACGAAGCGAGACGGCACCAAGGTCAACTTTAGCTGATGGCCTGTGCCTGCCTAACAGAGGCTGTGGATCTGATCTGCTGGCCTATCTCAGTGTGAACTGGACACTGTCGTGGCTTAATCCCTGCATGTGTCCCAGGGCAGCCCCATGCACACAGGCGAAGGACTGGCCAAACCCAACACTGGTTGAATAGAAACAAATCCCAGAGATTTTGATTGAGCATGAAGGTTCTTCCTGTCTGTGCTGCTCAGCAGCCCACCCAGTCACCGATGCTCTTGGGAACAAAGCATGATATATTGTATCAGTGGTCTCCAAGAAGATGTTTGTTAAACTGTCTTGGGAAAATGTCCACTTGGCTCATTACCAGGGCCTATTATTACCACGTGCTGAGCTAGATGCTTTTTACAAATTATCTCTAATTATCTCAAGAATCCTAGAAGATAAACAGTAGTATTCCCAGTTCATGATTGGAGAAACTGAGGCTCAGAAAGAGTATCGCTTGCCCATAGTACATGGTGTATCCAGCTCTCTCTATTGTACCATGCTATTTCTCTAACAGGGAATTCAGTCTCAGCTTGACAACCAAGGCTAGAACTGCATAAGTAGATCTTTGTTTTGGTGATAAAGATTTTGCCAAAATGGTATGCATGATCAAATCATCCCAAACTAGCCCAAGGTCATCCATCATCCACTGTCACCTTTGTTGTTAATCTCAGACCCGCCTCCCTAAAGCTGTGTGTAAACACCCCTCTTCCTCTGTGGAAAAGGACAGGCCTCACTTTGTCCCTCTGTCCACAGGAGCCAGAGCCTCTCTATGCGCAGATCAACAGACCTAAGAAATAGCATCGATGCAAGTTGGCGGTGGGTGTATCAAGACTGGCATGGAAATCACATCCCGACAGGCTCTCTTGTATTCTTCCACCTCATCTCATTCCACAGAGAAATTCACAATTGCCCAGTGGAACTCATTTCGAAGAGGGACAACATTTTTGGCAACCAATGGCAGATATATATATATATGCATATATATATGCATATATATATATATGCATAAATATATGCATATATATATATATATGGCAGCACAAAGAAAAAATAATAATAAACCCACAAAAGTATTTTAAAAAGCCGCACCCAACATTAAATCACAAACAAGCAAATGCTTACCCGAAAGATATTCTAAGCTCTCCTAGCTGGGTTTAAGATGACCCAGAATAGGAAATCCTAATTCTGCTTTGTTTTCTCCACTTGTTGGCCACTATAGAGACAGCAGATTTGGAGTGACAGGCATCCAAGAATTACAGCAAGGTTGACGCTGACTTCTTTAGGCAAAAAGCAAGGGTTCCTCTGGGACCACAGTGTCATCATCTATATGCCTTTTGGCATATGACAGTGTTTGTCATTGCTTCCCAGGGCCTGGTCTGCCATTTCTCTACCCCTTTCCCTCCTTTGTCATGTTTGAAAATTAATGGGTGTACAAATTTTGTATTGCTTTTGACTTTTTTTTTTTTTAATATGGGTGAAGAAATCTAACTGGAAAAAAAAAAGCCTCTTACCAAGTGGATTAACTTAAAATCACAAGACAAATAAGTGGTTGATTATTCATTATGATCAAGAATGTTGCCAAAACAACCATGTACTCTGCACCCTGCTGAAGAAAGACAGTTTTCGGTTCAAATGTTCATTCTGTGAGTAGGAAAGGACATCAAATCCCATTGATGAAAAAGATGAAAAATGCATCTAATTTCCTATGAAGCTCTAAACTCTGAGTACAATAATATTTTTATTTTTTTCTGATACTTTGCTGCTGTGATACTATGCAGACAGGTGTCTTCTCCACGTGCCATTTTTCAAAGAAAAGTCATTTGCCAAATAATTCTGGTACAATTCTGGTCATATGGTTTTGGATCTTAAAACCTGGCTTTCTGATGGAACAATGGTAACATACACATTCAGCATAACAAACTGATTCTGTGGTCAAAATGGTCCATCTCTATCTCTTTTTGTACATCAGAAAATTTGAATGGGATTTTTATTTTATAACTCAAAAGAAAAACCTTACCATTAAACTCTTTAAATATTTAAGGGAAATGGCTTTAAGGAGTTCTAATGAAAAAGATTGTCAGTTTTTTTTGTAAATATAAATGTTAATGAAAATGCTTTTTAATAATGCCATTACACTGTAGAGAAGGTAGCAGATTGCGTGCAAGGTGTGACAAATTAAATGAATGGTTCACTTTCCAGATGTTACTCTGGAGTATATGGTAGGAAGCTGGAGTTCAGGGACAGCTGGCAGGAGCAGTTGGCCAATCAGCAGCCAGAGAACTGGAAGGGGAGTGGGACTCCATAATCCGGCCCTTCCTTACAGCCTGTGTGCAGAACAGGGAAGAGGGAATTCCCATTCAGAAGGCCTGGCCTACAGATTCCGAAACCTTCCCACCTCTCCACTCCCGCCCACCTGCCCATAAGTCACTGGACTGTTTGTATGTGGAACAGAAGGGTTTAAGCTTCCCATTTTTACATTTATGGGACAAAAAATGCAGTGTTCAGTTCGTATGTTTAGCACATGATTTTCATAAAGAATCTATATATTTTTGCCCTACAGAGAATTGTTATACAGGCCAAATGTGTTTTCCTGATGTTCCTATGCAGTCACAGTAAACAGTGGTTTAACAGTGAGAAGCAAACTTTCAAGAATCAAATAGTTAATTGGACTCGGGGAGAATCATTATTACTTTGAAAGGTAGAATTTACATTGATATGGCCGATTTAAATAGGCCTGTATCCTTAGGCTCTTCATATCAATAGAAACGAAAAGGATTTGGAAGATCAACTTTAAAAAGATTATATACCTGAGAAGACAAAAGCAAAGTGATACATCAAAGTGATTGTTATTATTTGAAGACCACCTTTTATACAGTCAGGCCATTGGAATCTAATTTTTCTCTGAGTACATAAACCAAGCAAATGTTCATTAGAGAATATATGTAAATATTATCCTAATGTGGAAAGTCTTAAGAAACAGCAAGTGATGTCTGGAGCGGTCACATGTTGGGCCACAAGATTTCTCCCAGGGAAGGTGCATGCAATTTATGTCAAGGCAACCCCATCACCTGAAGGAGAAGAGGGAAAGGTGCAAGAGGCAGGAGGGCTGTCCCAAAGCCAGTTCAGTGGTGTGTTCTGGAGATAGGGTAAGACACGCAGTCCTGCGGGGAGGTTGCTTCTGTTGCTGTGTCTGTAATTCTGATTCTTTACAAGTGGTGCTATCTTCTCCCCCAGTGCAGCTGTCTTGAGTTTGTCCTGAAGAGCCACACCATTACCCCGTACCTGGGGTTGCTTCTGACATGTGCACGGTGAACTCTGGATGACGTTGCTGTATCAGGTACACTGCCTGGAGTTAACTGCAGAGCAGAAGGTGACAGCCCAGTGGTCTTGTCCTAGTCACGGAACACGATTGAATATGTAGCTAGGTCTGAGCTGAGAAGGTGTGATGCATTCCGGTGAGGGAAATAAAGTCCACATTGGAAACTGCCATCTATATTCTTTGGCAGAATTCTGCTTTTTTTTCCCAAGCACTGTTTGATGAACCCAGAATCACTGTACCCTATCCCAGGAATACAGTGTCATTTCCAAACAAGAGCTGAGGTGCCAACACCAAAAGAGCATGGGGAGTCTGCACAGTTCTGGTTAGATCAATAGAAAACCCATGTGTACAACTGTTAATTCCTTATCCTTCACTAGCACTAAATTTGTCACTTTAAATTTTGAAACCAGGGAAACGCCACCTGTCATTCTGTCCCCATTCCCCACAGCTCTTCAATCTTTACATGCCCCGAGACTTTTTTGATAGCTCGTATTCATTCCAGCGTCTACTGAAACCCCATCATGTAACGTACCGGGCACCTTCTTTTCAAAGAAAAATGTTTACTCTGTGGGTTTGGTTCATTTCAATTTCTGCGTTCTGACACATATTTTTTTAATAAAGATGAGAAAGAAAATGACTGTTGCAGTACATTTCTAGGCCTACTTTAACTTTACCTCAGATGACAGTTTGTTAACATATATGGACACATTATTTTTAACTTTATGTACAATGCATTCAACAGAACAGCGAAGTTTTTAGAAATTTTCCATTAATTTCTGTAACACGCCATGTAAAACTGTTACAAATAAACATGTTTGAGAACAAGAGCTTAGCCTGGTTTTGTTCCACAAGCTTCCACTGGACAATCAGGATGGATTTGAAGAGGGTGACATCTCGGCTGGAGTCTCCATCTGACCAGAGGATGGCCTCTGCCTCCCATCCCCTGAGCTAGAAACAGTAATGTCTGCTGAGACATGAGATCACTTCACCCTTCACCCTTAGCTGAATCCAGGCACTTGCTGTGCTTGGACAAGTAGCCACAGCAAGAAAGGAAGATGATAAGACCAACAAGCCTTGTGTAGGTGAGGGGTTGGCCACATGTGGCATGGAACTTTTAGACATAGGGAAGACCCTCTCTGGATGGGTAGCTTCTTTTAAAAATCTGCTAGACTAGATTGGGAAACCAAGGTTGACCTAGACCTGTGGTGGCAAACCCATGGCACGGGTGCCACAGCGGGCCTGCAAAAAGCTCTCTCCGTCGACACACGAGCCAAGTTGCTCCAGCAGTTGAGCAGCGGATATTCAGGTTTCATTGCAGTGTCGGCACTTGCCGTGAATAAGTGGGCTGTGGGCTGCAGCTTGGGCGGTCAGTGTAAAAGCTTCGCCATCACTGTTCTAGACCGTCCTGGGGTTCGTCTTTCATTTTAAAATGTTCTGCTTTGAGGGTCTTCAGGAAGGAGAATTTTTGTTCCTTCACATTTTCTATATGTTCACATTTGTTTGAAGGTCTGAAGCTGAAGTTTTTACTTTTATGTGTATTGAAGAACAAAAAATGCGTGTGTGTGTTTATGTATGTATACATGTATATGTGTGTGACTTTTATTTCCTTTTATAGCTAAACCCACTTATCCATTCAGTAATTAACCCATTTATAGACAGTGACCACAGGTCGTTGAGATGTGAAAAAACCCACATCTATCCTTTTGATTTCATAAACACAAACCTTTAATCCAGCCTTGTATGTGTCTGATAGGTTCTAGACACTTCTTATCCGTTGCCTCATTTAATTTTCTAAAGAATCTGAAAGGAATAGCATGCCATTGCCAGTATGTAGGATACTGAGGTTAACTTCCCCTGCTAGCAAATGGAAGAGTTGTAGTTTCCCCTTTGAGTCTCTTTACTTATAATTGATTCCAATTTTTAAAACAGTTGGATATTCACGGTTTTAAATAGACTTACAAAACTCGTTTAAAACCTTTGGTCTCCCTATGTCAGTTTTCCAGACCTCTAGTTTATCTTTGGTCATAATTTAGATTCCTGAGCTCCTTCAGATTAAAGTAAAGGTAAAAATCCATTAGTTCCTACTATCTTAAGGTAAATAAATATACAGTTGCTTCTTTAATTGGCACCTTGAGAGTGGTGTGTGTGTGTGTGTGTGTGTGTGTGTGTGTGTGTGCAAGAATAAATCTTTTGCCCATTTTGTTCAAGTTTAGCTGAAACTAGTGCTAGTGATTTACTTTGCTAGGCTAAATGAATCTTAAAGAAGTGACAAATTAAAAGGTATCCTATTTAACTGCTAGGCGTATGCCAAAATAAGTCAGGCAGACATATCTGCCTTCATTCTGTGCTTGAGAGCAAACCCTTGTTGTTTTGACAGTAAATGTTTTTTGTTTTACTCAGAGTGACAGTAGGAAAAATGCCTAGAATTAAAACAGGATTCATTGAAATCAACCTTCAAAGCTTTGAAAGCTTTTTAAAGATGTTGAAATTCAAGGAAAAGGGAAGCAATGGTGCCTGAAAGATTAAAAAGAGTTACAGATGTAGAGCTGTCAAGCCACTGAGCGACCAGTTCTCAGTACTTGTGTTAAAATACGAATACGAGCATGACCACTCTGGACCCCTGCTTTGTCTGGACCACTCATTTTCTGGCTGCCATTTGCAAATTTGAATAGAAACCCCAAGGGAAAAGAAACAT